AAATAAATATTTCTTATTGGAACTATTTTCTTATTAATTTTTTCGTCAATGCAAAATCAGACTGGTTTTTTGTACTTCTAGTTGTGCCGTCCGCGGAGTCTAAGATTTTTGACCTTTTCTATGACAATATGTATATATTTTTTTAATGGGTTTCTTTTAATTCTTTGATTGAATGTCTTCATTGATTTTTGGCCACCACCAAAATATAAGACGCCAATAAGAAATTAGCATTTAGGATTGGGGCTTTTATGGTATTTTTTTTTTCCATCGAGGAATAATTTTCTGTAATTAAATTTAAATGAATCTGTGGGCGTTTTTTGAATTTGAGATTTGATTGTTGAGGAAGAAGTTTGCCATTCTTGGAGTTGAATGGTAAATTGCATAATCAAGCAAGATTAATTGTTTATTCGGGTCCTCGGCTTCCTTTTTTTTTTTTTTTTTTTTTTTTTTTTAATTTCCGAAATTAAGTATGGATAATGTGATTGGAGGCAAATTTAAGCTGAGGAGAAAGATTGGAAGTGGATCTTTTGGAGAGCTTTATTTGGGTAATTTCGATTATCATTTTTAACTGTAAATTAATGGTTTCTGAGGTTTCGTTTCCGCGCTGTGATGAATTATTTGTTAATTTCAATTTAAATTAGGAGTAAATATTCAAACTGGAGAAGAAGTTGCTGTGAAGCTGGTGAGTGAAAGCTTTGCACTGGGCTATAGGTTTATTTATTTTTTTCCCTCTATCTAAATGAATTTTGTTTATTTCTGGATTATGAAGTCTTCTTATTGATCCTTTCGAAAAAATTTCTACATTTGATCCTTTCGAAAAAATTTCTACATTTGGTTATGGAAACTAGAGAAAGAACGGTTCTTTTTTTCTTTTATTTGTAAAAATATTTGATGATGTGTTGTATTGAGTCCATTTGCTGCCTATGGTTCCACCAAATGGTTGATCAGATGTGATTATTGTTTGTTTTATGCGTAAATGGCTATTAATATTTTTGTTACCAGGTAAGTTGATTTGTAAGCATTTCAGTTTTCACTAATACAAGGAGACCAATTACCTAAAGTCTTTAGTTTGAGCTATGGATTAACTTCTTGCAAAACCACTCTGTAGGCTTTACTTTAAATGATTTGTTTGATTTCACGTTTCTTGTATTTTGTCCTCTTGGTGCTAACATAATTCCA